TATATATAAATTCAGTTATTCATCAATTTTATGCCAGAATTAGTTCTGTTAATGTAGTTTCAAATTTTTTAACCCCATGTATTGAACACCACTGTAGTCAGTAAGTGATGCTTTTCAAATAATGTCACCCAATAAAATGAATAATTATTATTATTAGTAATTATTTTCTAATCAATAGACATCCTGGAGTAGTTCAACAAATCTACATCAATAAACAGATTATCAGTATAGATTGCATCATATTACTCAAAGTCACATGGTTTAGCACATGAAAGTGGCTTATCATAAACAAACATTTTGAATTCTGCTTTGGCTTAGATACATGCACAGAAAATCAACAGTCCTGCATTGCGTTGGTCTTTAGATCTTTAGATGTTTATTCTCAGGTGTGACTGTGATCCGGTCAGCGCAGCTGCATCACGAGCAGCACAAACACCTGCAGGCCTGTTGCCATGGCAACCGTCTCCGGACCGCCACTCAGGTAATACTCAGCCACCTCTCTGTTGGGGTTCGGACCCGTGAACCACATCTGCATGCAGCGGCCGCTGTCTTTGGTGAGCGTGGTGTACTTGTAGGAGTTTGACCAGATCTTCTCACACATGTCCTGAGCGCTGGGGAAGATCTCCGTCCAGCGGCTGCAGTGAGAGTCGCGCGGACAGCGGTTAATGCCTGACACACAGAGAGAGAGAGAGATGTAAAGACGTAAGCATGGCTCCAGCGAACAGGAAACGTTCTCAGAACATTCTGCCAAAGTTCTGAGTAAACATTCTCCCAGTAATCTTAAAGGGACGGTAAACAGTTGACGGTAGCCATTGACTTCCATAGTATTTTTTCCACACTATACAAGTCAATGGCTACCGTCAACTGTTTGGTTACCAACATTCTTCTGAATATCTTCTTTTGTGTTCAACAGAAGAAAGAAAGTCATAGAGGTTTGGAAAGATGAGAGTGAGTTAACAATGACAGAATTCTCATTTTGAGGCAAACTATCTCTTTAATAGAATGTTATCAGGTCTTTAATAATGCTCTCAAAACATTAGCAAAGAAACGTTATTTATACATAATCCATCTAACATGTTTTAAATGCTGCTACTTGTTTCAGAACGTTCAGAGAACATTCAAAAGTAACATTCCCATAATGTTTGCAAAATGATACAATGTAACGTTCCTGTAACGTTTGTATAACCAATAAAAAAAGCATTTACAAACCTGGACATTTTGAACGTTCAGCAAACATTCAGAAATAATGTTTTTTAGGCAACGTGCAATAATTAAATATATATACAATAAGCTAATTAGCAGAAAAGGCCTAATATTAGCTCATTGGATGATGCAGAGTTCAAAAATATAAGTAAAATCTTTCATGTAGTTTTTTTTTTTTTCACAAAATAAGAATGAATATTTTTCTAATTCTATATATGTATCAGCTTTAATGCACTTTTCAAAATAACAAAAGCAATTAAATATTTCTATCATAATGACAAAAAATGTATAGTTTAACTTATTTGCAAGTGAGAAAATATATTCAAAAACTATTTAATATCAAAGAAATGTACAAGTTTACAGAAATGTAGAATCTGTGATATCTGCGTCTGCTTGTCTGCAGTAAAAGCAGAAATCATCAGGCTCATGTTTGATTTTCTTCTGTCTCTGGATCATAATTCGGACTCAAATCCTGTCATGCGTGTGAAAATGAGCTGAGAATCGATCTGAGAGTTCAGACAGGAATCGTGTTTGTGTGTTTTTCTGCTGATTAAGGGACAATACGAGACTTCTTCACCACACAAATGATTCTCAAAAGCAAAAATGCGTTGAAATGCATCATATTTAGTGACGTGAAAGAGCAAAACAGACAGTATTTTTGGAATCAGCAGCTCAGAATGAGTACTGGATTCATTCAGATCTCATGCGGACTGACCCGAGCTCCAGTCCCAGCCCTTATGCCAGTTCTCTTTACAGGTGAAGTCATCCTTACAGTCCTCAAACCAGCTCTCACAGTCCTCCAGACACAGCGGCACGTCCACGATACGCTCCTTACGCCACGACTCGCTGGCCTTCAACACACCACAACAACACTGATGCTCAAACCTGCTCACGACACACACCACTAACATCTATCTATCCAGTCATTAGCTTGAATAATTAGGAGAATGTTTCTGAAAGAAGTCTCTTTTTGCATTTATTTGATCAAAAATACAGTAAAATCAGACTAAAATAGCCTTTTCTATTTCTGTTAGAATGTTATTTATTGCTGTTGACAACAGTTGTGCTGCCGAATATTATTGTGGGGGAAAAACTATTTTTATAAATTAATAGTTCATCAAGGATGCATTAAATGTATCAAAAGTGCCAGTAAAGACATTTATAATGTTACAGAAGATTCATCACAGAAATAAATTACAGTTTAACAGATATTCACATAGAACACAGCTGTTTTAAATTGTAATAATATTTGACTGTTTTTCAGTATTTTTGATCAAATTAACGCAGCTCAAGTTTCTTTCAGAAACATTAAAATCTTGATTATTCCACAGTTTTGTGCAGTACTGTATAATGATCTCGTACCGGCTGAATCCAGGGCCCCAGGTGCGGCGAGCACTCGTAGAAACACGTGTCCTGAATGAAGTGTTCCTTACATTTGTCGCTCATAATGCCGCAGTGATTCCAGTTGAAGTTGTACAGGTATGAATTATCCTGATGAGCTTCTTCTGTGGTGTTCGCTGTGCAGCAGGCGTTATCTTTCCACGGAGCACACTGAGAGACACAAGCATTCAGGAAATATTTCTACAAACCTGATGAAGAAACACACTCATCCTGATCTTGGATGACCTGAGTGTGAGCACATTTTCATAATGTATTGTTTTGCATTATTTGATCATTGTTGCAGTAGAGAAAAGTGTGTGTGTGTGTGCGTGCATGCGTGCGTGTGTGTGTGTGTGTGTGTTGCGTCTCGTACCTGCTGATACAGCTGTCCCTCTGGTCTGGGCTCTGATATCTGGTGTTTTCCATCCATACACATGTTGAGTTTGTCTACAGCAGAAACACAGGACAGCAGCGCTATCAGCAACACCAGAAACAACAGCAGCCTGTGCAAAAGAACGACAGACGAGAGACGAGACAGACAAATCAGTGAAGATTAGTTCAAGGTCTCAGAGCTGATGTTCTGTTCTCACAGCCTTCTGACCGCAAAAGTTACAATATACACTAATATAACCAGCAACTAAAACTGTGAGCTAAACAAACGGAGTCCAAATGTCTGAGATTTTCTAAAACAAACGAATGAATAAAATAATGCTTTAGAATTTACAAAAAAATAAAATAAAATTAAATTCATGTCTGGGATTCTTTTTTTATTTATGTATTTATTTATTACTTAGAAATAAATAAAAATAATTATTCAAATAAAATAATTAAGAAGTATAAATATTTTTTTAAAACAATGTAATAAATATATTAATATCCCATAAATAGTAAATAAATATTTGATTCTGTACCTAATCAAATATTAGTGCTGCAAAAATGAAACAAAACAAACACTCAAACATTCTTACAATCTTCTGCTACTAATAAAACAATAAAAAATAAAATAAAGAAAAATGTTGAGGTGAAATAAATAAGTATATGTAATTTTTGTTTGAATCCGATTGATCTGGAGATACTTGAATATTTTATAAATAGTAATTTTGCACTATTTCTATTAGACAAATCCATTTTTGTGCTGCTGTCATTAAAGCAAAAATGAGACAAAATACTGAAACCTTCTCAGAATCATCTTAATTCTCAACTTTTCATTCAAATAATTAAACTTTTTATCAGAGAAAATGCAAAACAGAAGCATAAAAACCAGTGATCTTCTGAAGTCACCCTGTGAGGAATGAAATAAAGTAAGTTTTGTTTTCATACCTTGAAAGAGAAATGTCCATGTTGCCGGTAGAATCTGAAGTTAAAGGCAGCTAATGCTCTTTATTTTCCAGGAGGTTCAGGACTGTGTGAATGTCGCTGCTTCAGCGGATCAAAGTCTACATGAAGACTCCTGAAGAGTGATGACTACAGTAATGAGACGCCTCCTCTGTCCTCACTGTACAGTCACTCTGACCTGCCTCGTGCCTCGTGGACTCCTGAACCCTCATAACACACCAAACACCCGAGACATTCGGCAGATCTCATTTATTACAACAGAAGCGCAAGAAACACAACTGATCAGCTCAGTGGTCAAGGTTTATAGAGTGTGTTGAGTGCATCTTCAATCAGGTTTCCGTTAATCTCACACACTTTTAAAAGATTTTGGTTTGTAAATCTGTTTTATAAGCTGGTTTCTGAGCGACGGTGTGAGTTTTGAGGGCTGTGTTTAGCAGGGGTGTGGACTTGAGACTTGAGTCGGACTTGAGTCTCAAATTTGATGACTTGCGACTCGGACTCGACATAATTAAAGACGACTTGAGAGCCGACTTAGACTTTGACAGCAATGACTCGAGACTTGACTTTGACTTGAGCCCTGTGACTCGGAAAGACTCGGCTTTAATTTTTATTTTTATTTGCAATAAACACCTCTCTGAGACCTGTTTTCGTCAGACCTCCACTGTTTTTGTTCAGTCAGTCACGTTTTAATTGCATGTGCATTTTATTTAATTTAAACCCCGATTAAGTCTAAAGTTAATCCATGAACGAGATTTAAATCTGAGTTTAAAGTTACGGTGCAACAGGATTAAAGTTCATCTTAAATACGAATGAAATCCCGGATCAGTATGACGGGTTAAATGTAAACCTGCTTATTTTTAAACAAGGTTTAAAGTTTAGTGCAACAGAATTATTTGATAAACCTCGATTTAATCTAGATTTAAAATTAATCCTCGCAAACCATTTAGCACGCTGTCTGAAGTGGGCAAGCCGCAATAATGATCGTTTAAAATACAATTTAAATAAGTGTTTCTTTCAACAAATGAGCATTGTATGTGTAACTATAAACTAAAGCCTACTCAAGATTTCTCCCTCTTCAGCAGGCACTCGCTTTCAGTGAGCGGCGGAACTAAAGAGCGCTGGATGGTGTGTTTCCGGGGGGAAGCATTCAGTGCAGCACCAGCGAGCGCCCGCCGTGTGTTTACATTTGAACTTTCTGCGCATCTGCAGGTAAAATATGTTAATTACTCTAATTAAAATGAATCAGTCATGGTATTTAGTCATGTAAATGCATTTAAGTGACCGAACGGCGGAGTATAGAATTCCGTGTCGCTTCTGTTTGTGTAATGTTCAGTGTTGTTATGATGAAGAATAACTGTGGAAGTATACTGTGGTGTTCTGAGAAATAGCATCAAGTTAAAATTCACATCCTATGGTATTTACATACGTCTTAAAACTAAAACTATAGTACTACCTTGGTGTATGTCTAAAAATATGGTAGTACATGTGATAACGTGTTAATAAAAACGTGGTATTACCATAGTACACGTTAAAACGTGGTATTTTAGTGATGCTATGCCTTTGTATAACTCAAAGAAATGTATGAGAATACCATGGTGTTTTTAGTGATGCCATAGATTAACAGTGCTGAAACATTTATAAGAATATTATGTCATAAGACATGATATTACTGTATTACATGTGAAAACGTGGTAATACAATGGTAGTTTTTACTAGTGATGCCATGCTTTTACAAAGTACTCACAGAAATGTATAATAATATAATATATTGTAGTATGTCATAAACGTGTCATTAGTATCATAGTACAAGTGGAAAAACATGGTATTTTTTAGTGATGTCATGCATTTATATAATACTCAAAAAAACGTATAAGAATATCATAATGTGTTGTAAAAATGCAGTATTATGCATGTGAAAAAAGCATGGTAATACCAAGATATTTTATTAGTGATGCTATGCGTTATGTATTTATTTTCAATTCACGTTTATTTGTATAATGCTTTTCGCGATTCAAATCGTTGCAAAGCAGCTTCACAGAAAATGAAAGTTTCTAGATTATATTTAGGAGTAGCTTATCAATGGTGACTATGTCAGGGTGATGTCCGTATGGAAGAAATGTACAGCAAAAATCATGCAGTTAGTAAGTAACTGCATGATTTTTTTTGGAGTAATTATGTATTACTCAAAGCAATCACATCATAAAAGCATGGCATTACCATAGAAGAGAATGTTTACTGTGTGCAGAGATGTCCACCCTGTTCCCGTCTCTGTTCCCGCATGTGACCGAGTCTCTGTGGTTTAATCTGGACCGACCGTGTGTGGATGAAGCAGAGCTGCAGCAGCAGGAGCAACAGCACCAGACCTGGGTCAGTCTGAGAGAGTGTGTGAGAGAATGTGTGTGTGAGAGAGAGTGTGTGTGTGTGTGTGTGTGTGTGTG